CCCCCCCCAAAAATCTGAATGCTAGACCGGCCATCTGTTATTGGAATGTTTAAAATGTATGTTGTTTAATACTGTAGGTTTATGGTTTTAATTGGTTTTATAACAGCATCTTTTAAACTGCCCTGAGCCCCGCATAGGTGGGGAAGGGCGGTTAAGAAATCCAACGAAATAAATAAATAAATGATTGTTTATTAATGCACTAATAGGAGATACAGAACGTAATGCAAAGCATCCGTCTGCCAAGTTGTTTCTCTGACTTAAGCCAGGAAAGCTAGCAACTTTTATACCTTTGAAATGACATCTACAGGTTTACATTCTATAGAAAACACGTTATTGGCTCACAGATACATTGGCATCATATGCTGATACAACCCCACTGGAGACCCCCTTATCTGGGGTCCAATTACATTCGTGTGCATCCATTGATCAATTGCTTCTAGAATAAAAGGCACAAGGACTTCCTTTTGGAAGTATTCGAGGACCCCTCTGGCACTCTGGATAGATAAGAGGTGCGATTTATGACACTTGCGGAGGGGTCTCCCAGACTCAGAGGAGCCTTAGCTACAAACATAAATTTTATGCCCAGGGATGCCAGGCCCTTCTTTCTACCATAGCATATTGTAAAAGCATAAATTTCCCACTTATGCAGGGCTTCTCTTCATGATAAAACAAAGGCATTCAGGCTTTTAACCTATGTCCTTCAGCTATTACATACAAAGCTTGCTTTTGCTTTGGGAAAGAACAACGGAAAAGATACCTTCCCAACCACACAGGACAGTGGTGGCGAACCTATGGCACGGGTGCCAGAGGTGGCACTCAGAGCCCTCTCTGTGGGCACGTGTGCCATCGCCCCAGCCAAGCCTAGACCATCGTTAAAGTGTCGAATTCTCTGCCAAATAATTTTAAGTAAATGAAAGCCTTTGGGATTGCTTTCCTTACTTTGTTTGGATCATCTTAAATTAATGAGTTGTTTTTTCTAAAGTAAAACCTCAGTATTCAGGTTAAATGGCCGTGTTGGCACTTTGCGATCAATAAGTGGGTTTTGGGTCGCAGTTTGGGCACTCGGTCTCTAAAAGGTTCGCCATCACTGACATAAGTTGTTAACACTAAAAAGGAATTTAATAAAGAAAACATTATTTTCACTGAGAAGCATAACATCAGACTTGGCACCTCTTGCTTCTAGTATTCTTAATAGAATAAGATCAATTCCCACCTATGTGGGAGCATTCCAGGTGTTTCTTAAAATGGCTTTTCATTTTACACTTCCCACAGCTTCCGTTGTCCACCCTCTCCTCCTAGGGTTGCCAACATCCAGGCAGGGGCTGGAGAGCTCCCAGAATAACAACCGATCTCCAGGCTACATACATTGCTTACTATTTATTTATTTGAAGCATTTATTCCCCTTCTCCTGGAGCAAATGGCTGCTTTGGAAGGTGAAGGGCATGTCATTATACCCTACCGGGGTCCCTCTCCCCCCTAAGGCCCACGCTTCGCTAGCTGGGGATGCCAGTCTCCAGGTGGGACCTGGGGATCCCCCGAAATTACAACTCATCTCCAGATTGGCTGCTTTGGAGGGTGGACTCTATGGCACCCCACTGATGTCTCTGTCCTCCCCAGGCCCCATCCCTGAAGCTCTAAGATTTTCCCAACCTAGATCTAGATGCGTAGCTGTGTATGTCTGTCTGTCTGTAGCCATCTTTCCTGAGCGAAGACAAAAGATGTGTGAGCCGGAGGCTACAAAACTGTGAGCTGCGGTGGCTCAAGTGGTTAAGATGCTGAACTGCAGGCTGTGGAAGGTCGGTAGTTCAGCAGTTCGAGACCCGAGTGCGCCACATGATGGAGTGAGCTCCCGTCTCTAGTTCCAGCTCCTGCCAACCTAGCAGTTTGAAAGCAAGAAATTGCAAGTAGATAAATAGGGACCACTTCGGTGGGAAGGGAACAGTGTTCCATGCGCCTTGGTGTTTAGTCATGCCGGCCACATGACCACGGAAACATCTTCGGACAGCGCTGGTTCTTCGGCTTTGAAACATAAGCACCGCAACCCTAGTTTCGACTCGAGCAAGGGAACCTTTAGTTTACCTTTAGCTCACACCAGTGTTCCCTCTAAGCTGAGTTAGTGTGAGCTAGCTTATCAGTAGGAACAGCTTATTACCGTGACCTTGTCCCTTTCTTGTTATTTTCCACTTGTTCCACTAGAGTTCTTTAGCCTCTGGCTCACACATTTTTTGTCTTAGCTCAGGAATTGGTTCCAGAGCAAAGTAATTGATGCAGTAGACAAATCTCTCGCTCACAACTTTAATGCCCGTAGCTCACAAAGTAGACTTTTTGCTCACAAGACTCGACAGCTTAGAGGGAACACCGGCTCACACTAACGCAGCTTAGAGGGAACACTGTGTTCCAGACCTGGAGATGGCAACCCCATCTCCTCCCTCTCTTCCTCCCCCCCCACTTCGATTTTTCCCGCCTAAAAAAACAGCCCCCTTGAACGTTCCAACCCGCGCGGGAGCGGAGCGGGGAACGAAGACACCCTCCCGGCCGAGCCCTCTGCGCACGCGCCGCTCCCCGTCCCGCGCGCGGGTGGAGGGCGGAGCTCTCGACCCGGAGGGGCCACAATTTGCGCGCGCAGAGCGGGTCTCATTGTCCCGGGATCGTCAGCAGCGGCGCTCGCGCGAGGAGGCTTCGGGGCTTTCCAGAAAGGAGGCGGGCGCGTGCAGGTGTGTTGTTGTTGTTGGGGGGTTTTTTTTGGGGGGGGGGAGGAGGAGGAGGGAACGCTTCTTTTCCTCTTTCTCCCCCCCCCCCCCCCCCCGGGAGACGGGCGGGGCGTTCTTTCTTTCTTTTCTTTTTTTTACAATATAATGTATTAAGTTTTCGTAACATAATAACATGCATATACAAAATGGTGTATTGAGTACATATAAAATTGTAAAGTAGTCTTGTTTGGAGCTATGCAATATGGGGCGTTCTTTCTAACGGCGATGTGGGTTGTTTCTGATACAGGGATGCATTTTCAGAGGGAGGGGTCCAGAGCGAGGCTCTCCCCCCAACCTGTGGAGTCCCGTGACCAAAAACTCTACTTGGTGAGCTCCTGGCATTCAAGTTGTGAGCGAGCAGTTTGGCTGCTGCATCCATGAGTTTGCCTCTGGAGCCCTCCTTCCTGAGCAAAGACAAAAATCTGTGAGCTGGAGGCTTAAAAACGGTGAGCTAGCTCACGGTAGCTCAGCTTAGAGGGAACACTGCATCCTAACCAATGTTCCCTCTAAGCTTTGGAGTCTTGTGAGCAAAATTTTTACTTTGTGAGCCACTGGCATTAAAGTTGTGAGCGAGCCATTTGGCTACTGCATTCAATCAGTTTGCATCTGGAGCCCTCCTTCCTGAGCTAAGACAAAAATCTGTGAGCTGGAGGCTTAAAAACTGTGAGCTAGCTCACGGTAGCTCAGCTTAGAGGGAACACTGCTCCTAACCAATGTTCCCTCTAAGCTTTGGAGTCTTGTGAGCAAAATTTTTACTTTGTGAACTACTGGCATTAAAGCTGTGAGAGAGCCATTTGGCTACTGCATTCAATCAGTTTGCTCTGGAGCCCTCCTTCCTGAGCGAAGACAAACACCTGTGAGCCGGATGTTAAGAAACGGTGAGCTAGCTCACACTAACTCAGCTTAGAGGGAACAGTGGTCCACAGCGATGTTCCCTCTAAGCTGTGGAGTCTTGCGAGCAAAAATTCTACTTTGTGAGCTATTGGCATTAAGGTTGTGAGCGAGCGATTGGGCTACTGTGTAAATCGGTTTGCCTCTGGAGCCCTCCTTCCCGAGCCAAGACAAAAATGTGCGAGCCGGAGGCTAAAAAACTGTGAGCTGGCTCACACTAACTCAGCTTAGAGGGATCACTGGTCCAGAGCGGTGTTCCCTCTCAGCTGATTTAGTGTGAGCCACCTCACTGTTTTTAAGCCCCCGGCTCGCACCGTTTTGCCTTAGCCCAGGAAGGAGGGCTCCAGAGGCAAACTAATGGATGCAGCCGCTCACAAAGTGGGATCTTTTGCTCACAAGATTCCACAGGTTAGAGGGAGCGTTGGTCCAGAGGTAAGCCGTTTCAGGTGGGTGGTTTGGGCGGGGTCGTGGCGCTTTGCACGGAAACGCAGGTGCGTTTTGGAATGCAGTCGGAAGCGCTAGTTGCAAGTGCAACTAAGGGCAACCCAAGTGAGGATAGGGGCTAGCGAGTCTTTGCTAGGAGGAAAAGGCTGAAACGCTTCGGGTGGGGTTAAGACAAGTGTTTCCTCTAAACTGCGTGAGCGTGAGCTGGCTCACAGTTTTTTAGCCTCCGGCTTGCACATTTTTGTCTTAGCTCGGGAAGGGTGGCTCCAGAGCAAACTAATTGGTGCAACGTCCAAATTGCTCGCTCACACCTTTAATGCTAGGAGCTCACAAAGTAGAATGTTTGCCCACAAGACTCCACAGCTTTAGAGGGAGCATTAAGACATAATTTGTAAAATGACGAAGGGCGTGAAGAAAAGTGTAGAAAGACTTCTTTCTCCATTCCCTGCAGTGCTAAAGTGTTTGGGTCATGTGCCTGAACTGGTTCAGGATCTAGAAATGGAAATGCTATTTATTACAATGCATCATTAACTTGGGGAGTTTGTGGGTGCAGTGTGCAGCAGTCATATAAACCACTAGTTGTGACTTGAATGGCGCTTCCCACCAATGCTCCCTGTAAGCTGTGGAGTCTTGTGAGCAAAAATTCTACTTCGCGAGCTACTGGCATGAAATTTGTGAGCGAGCTTTTTGGCTGCTGCATGAAATAGTTTGCTCTGGGGCCCTCCTTCCTGAGCGAAGAAAAAAAAATGTGTGAGCCAGAGGCTCAAAAAACGGTGAGCTGGCTCACACTAACTTTGCTCAGAGGGAACACTGCTTCCCACCACCAAAAGGGGACGAGACAGCTTATTGGCTCTAGTTGTGAGGATATAATGGAACCTTCATGTTCAGAGGCAGTCTTATCTCTTGAGTGTCTGAAACTGGGGAAAGTAAGCATCAAGGGAGTCCAGTTGTTTTCATATTTATTAATTAATTAAATTAGTTTCTTAACCGCCCTTCCCCACTTGTGTGGGGCTTGGGTGGTTTACAGCAATTAATTCAGTATGTTTTCAAATCAAAACCATAAAAACATTTGGTATTAAAACTTTTCAAAGCATTTAAACAAAGTATTGAAACAGTTCCCACTTGAAAACAGATGTTTGGTCGCTGATTACTTGTCCTCTGTGTTCTCCATTCCCTTGGCTAAATATTTGCTTGCAGCTGATCTCTGTGTTTTTGCCTTCCGTCAAATCTCTTCCCATCTGGTTAGCTGATATTCGCTCTGTATAGCAGGGTCTTTGCAGGAAGAAGGGATGGTGATATGCCCTGGCATGCCTCAGCCGAGTGATTCACTCTGTTCGGTTTTCGGTTTCGATCTGGACTTCAACACATTGTCTCTGCTAAGGACCCGCTCGGCAGTTGGTTTCCTTTTTAGCGTGATCGGTGGTAACAAACGGATGAGGGGAGTGCTGTCTTTAGTGGGGAAAAGTTGTAAGTAAGTAGATTTATTGTATATGGCCACTGGCCATTACAATATGAAACTGCAATAAAAATACTTATAATTTAAAACGTTGCATTCAAGATGAAACTCAGTTATACAACTTAACATATACAGTCTGGAATTTTAAAAGCATGTTATTAATGCTTTATAACTCATTGTGGGACATGGGAAAAAGTTGTAAGAAAATGAGCTAATAGAAGAAGAGAAGAGATTGGATTTGCCAGTTTGGTGTAGTGGTTAAGTGTCAATTTGGTTGGGCCTAACAAATGGTGTAGTGGTTAGGTGCGCAGACTCTAACAGGGAGAACCGGGTTTGATTCCCCACTCCTCCACTCGCACCTGGCTGGATGACCTTGGGCAAGCCGTAGTTCTAATAAGAGCTGTTCTTGAAAAAGAGCAGTTTCTGTCAAGAGCTCTCTCAGCCCCACCTCCCTCACACAGTGTCTGTTGTGGGGAGGGGAAGGGAAAGGAGTTTGTAAGCCGCTCTGAGACACCTTTGGGTAGTGAAAGACGGGGTATAAATCCAATCTCTTCTCTTCTTATTCTCTTATTATACCTCGCCCTTCACTACCAGAAGGAGTCTCAGAGTGGCAAATGGAGGAGTGGGGAATCAAACCCGGTTCTCCCAGATTAGAGTCCGTGCACTTAACCACTATACCATTTGTTAGGCCCAACCAAATTGACCCAAAACCCTGCAAATGTTTGCACTCCTCAGAACGTTTTAGGAAGCTGGGTGCTGTAAAACCTTTAAAAAGATAAAGATAGAGCCGGGGTGGGAAAGCAAATATTTCAGGCTCTGGTTTTATGACCTGCATCTTACAAACATCCTCTGTGAAATGCAAGGGAGTATGGGGCTTAAGTTTACTGTGGTGTCAGGTTACAGCACATTCTCTGGGAAGAAGTGTTTTGGTGGCGTCTTCTCTTTGTCCACTCAGAAATAAAGGAAGAGATGAAAAAGAAGACGGGGCAGTGGGAAAAGAAAGTTTGTTTCACTAGAGGATCCCTGTGCATTTTGCACGCGGCTTAATTGGGGAACCTACAAGAACAGCCACAAAACCTTTTTTTAAAAAATCTATCGATCCTGAGAGCATAAATCTTTCAGAAACTTAAAAACCAAAGATGGATAATTTCTACAAAAATACACACTGAGCACGGTACAGCTGTGCTACAGGAGCTGTACACATACTTTATCTTACCCAGACATGAAGTGGTTGAGGTTTGTTTGTTTTTTTGTATGACAGGCTTACATATTTTTAGACTGAGCTGTTTCTACATACTTGCAAGGTCACAATCCATAGAAAATAGGGGGGGTTTTTTGGTTACATCTGGGATCTCCATCCAGTATATTCCAGTACTTGGATATGCTCTTACTGACTCCATCCGTCATGTGGCGTGCCCGTCTCCCAAGGTCAGCCTTTTCTAACTTTGAAGCCAACTATCTCAGCTCTGAGCTAAAAGCCTCAGAATAGGTTAGCTGTAACGTATGCTTTGGGCACCCTCTAGTGGCCAAGAGATTTCCCAAAACCAGGCCTCTGCCCTGGAAGTCTTTTATCGTGTTTCACAAACAGTTCTTTGGTAGCTGTAGCCAAAATAGGCCAAGGTACTGGGCTGAGACCGAAGCCCCAAAAACCCAAATAACACCACAGGAATATAACTCACAAGGTTTATTAAAAGAAGTTGTACAGGAGTAAATTAACTGTCCTAGAATCCTTTTTCAGGCTATAGTCATTTGACCTAGATGTTATCTGGTCAGACTGAAGGTACAGAGTTGAGAGAGAAAAGCCCAGAATCCAAGAAGCCCTGTGTGGTGTGGTTAAGAGTGTCAGACTAGAATCTGAAAGGTCTTGTTGTTGTTCTTCAGTCGCACGAACCACATAACGCCAGGCCCTCCCATTTGCTTAATCTCATGTTCGTTGCATCGATAACACTGACTTTCTCATCCTTTGCCATCCCCTTCTTCTGTTACCTTCAAACTTACCCAGCATCACGGTCTTCTCCAGTGAGCGCTCCCTTCTTTGGTGGCCAAAGTATTTGAGCTTCAGCTTCAGTCTCTGGCCTTCCAGGGAACAGTCAGGGTTGATTTCTTTTCGGATTGACTGATTTGATCTCCTGGCAGTCCAAGGGACTCTCAGGAGTCTTCTCCAGCACCATAC